AGTCCATTCAGGAATGTATTTCCGACCACGACATACTGCCTTTTCAACTTAAACTCACTGAGAAAACGAACGCAAATGTTTTCATTTGTATATTTGAAGAAGCCGCAAAATCTCATCGCATTGGCAACGTTCGACAACAAATGTCCTTTACAGAAATGGAGCAGACCACGACAGCAGAGTTGGAGTCACATGCTTGTCGCTTACAAGTTCACAAAACGCTTCGGAATCTTTGTATCGATACGGCCATGTTCCAGGGCGAGAATATAACAAACGATTGCGACGCACTCAGCTGTCTTTTTAAAAGAACCAACCGTCTCAGTCCCCAATGTTCGTACGTTTTTCGTTCAGAGGAGAACAAAATTCAATTTTCTGGCGATGTCGTAACTGCCAAGGAACGGTTTAGCCAACCAATTTCGCAAATAACGACTTCGACGTAGTTCTTCAATGGATTCGTGTCTACAATTCGTGAAGGTTTGCAGTATATCAAGGAACCTAATCGTCACATGCACGGCTCGCAGCGGCCTCCTATCAAAGATTTTAGTACCCTATTGTACGTATTGTACGAACAGTACGGGAGTGCACAGTCAACTGTGTCTAAGGTCAAGCCCCAGCAAAATCAGTACATCGAATCGAATTGGGGACACTTTTTCACGGCAAGAACTCTCTAGACCGAAACGGAAAACAAATGTGATGCCGCATTTGTGGATCTGACTCCCATCTGCAACATTTCCAATCTGAAGCCATGAGGAGAGAAACTTGCAACCGTCTCGCGTCTGAAGGAAGTCCTAGTAATATAATCGATGATTTAGTTAACAGTATCGACGATTTGGGCCTCACCCGAGACACAGAACAGGGGGACACTGACACTGGTGACGAAAATCGTGAATGTGGTCCGACCGCTGGGAATGCAGAAGATTTTAACCTCTTTGATGAGCTTAAAAGAAACTCCGTAGATCATGGACAGATAATATCCGACGGCAGCACTTCTAGATATGTCGTAATAACTGATGTAGCTGTTGTTACGAAGCACATAGCACGGGCATTGCGTTCTGCTCACGGCGGCACTCACTCAGAGGGGGCGCTTTTTTATGAAGGCAACGACGCGCTACGTCTCGTGCTCGTCGCTGTAGCCATAGCTGTTCTTAGCATTGCACTGCTATATCAATACGCAAAAGTATGCAACAAGACGTTTATGCCACCAATGCACGTCTATGCCACTAATGCACGTTTCGAGATTTGTAAAAGGTTTCAGAAGAAACTTCAAACGTAAAAGACCCGGAATTCTCCTACACGAGGGCTTCCCGTCCTTTGTGATTTGTCTCAAGCAGCTCAGAAGACTCGCTTCATTCTTCGACGTCACGCTCAACGATTAAGAAGTCGCATAAGCAGTTCAGTTACGTCAATGCATCATTCGAATTTCCAAGAAGTGCCCAGGTATCATTTCGTACGCCATCAGGTGTCCTCCAATTCATTGTTGTTCTTGATGTTTTGTCGGCAGACGAACCCGTACTTCTTGGTATGGACATTTGAGATGCAGAGAATCAAGTAGACCACACAGTCTGAAATGAGCTGAAGAAGAGAATTATTTCGCAGAACGTTGATAGGAAATAATGATTCAAGTCGGATGAGGTTGTTACAGATGAATGGCCTATCCTGCTCACTGGGTACCTGTCAAAAATCTTTGCATCCTATGACTACTGTTCAGAAATGTATTTGATTAGAAAACAGTCGTATAAGACTCACTGACAGTTCTCACATCCATCCGCACATAAACTTTACAACCTGCTCAAGCGTGCTCGTCCAGGGGAAGCCATCTCAGAAAGGCGCCGAGCCTTGGAAGATTTGTGCAAACAATGTGACCCTTGCAAAAGGATACAGAATGCTCCAATTCGGTTCAAGGAATCCATTGGTGCTAGAAACGTGCGTTTAAACAAAAATGCTTCTCATCAACCTAATGTACCTGGACGGTAAACCTGTCATTTGCATTGTAAATGAAGGTACCCATTTCAGTGCCGCTCGTTTCTTGGAAAATGTCTCTGCTGTCTCACTGTGTTCAACAATCCCAGAATGCTGGGCTATAAGCCACACCCAGCTACTGCGCAAGATACTCGTCGAGCAAGGATCGCAGTTTGGAGATCCGTTCTTAAGCATTGCAGCATTACGAAATTTAGAAGTTCAACGAAACGGGATTGGGTCACACAATAGCCTCGAACTCGGTAAACGCTTTCCCAAACGGCTTTGCAGTACCTTCCGAAAATTGGAAATAACCTTTTCTGACAGAAAACGAACATTGCTTCTTAACTATGCAGTGAGCACCATAACTAACACCCGAGCACCAGATAGCCTTTGTCCCTCGGCATTAATCTTTGGTGAAATCACTTCACCGTTTACTAATTCAGAGACGCAACACTCTCGGGCAATGCTCGGACTACGATTCGAATTGCTGAGATTGCGAACAAAGTGCGATGTGAAATTGAGAAAGAGGTAGCAACCGTTGGATTGCAAAGAGCACACCATCATGCTACTTCACCCGCGGCTGAGACAATCTTTCAAGTCCTCCAAGATGTTGTAGTATAGAGGGCAAGAATAGTCGAGAGTCGGATGAGGTACTCGGATGGGCCCTAAAAGGTTCGTGCCGTAGACCAAAAGAAGAGATTTGTATTCTTCAGGGACTCTCAAGATGGTGATCCGAGACATTTAAACGTTGCGCAAGTGAAGCCACATCCAGCAATAGGGGAAGTCAATCACGGACTCATGAGTGTCCTACGCTATGGTTGGTCTGAGTTTTCATCTCCAAAAGATGAATCCTGATATCTCACGGAGATTTTCTTTCCCAGTAATCGTCGATGCAGTTCGAAAGAGATGAACTCGGAAATGGGCAGAAATTAGTAGATGGATGAAGCGAGGAATCTTCATAGTAGTCTTTCGAGAGAACATACCTGATGGTCCCGACGTACTTCTCGGTTGTTTCATCCTGACCATCAATTCATCTGAGGAGGTTCAAGGAACGTTCACGCCTCGTTGCGTCGTTTGTGGACATCGTGGTAAGCTCAAACATTTCATAGTTCATTCCTCGCAGACTCTGCAACCTGCATGAAGTCAACAGTCGTAGTCACTACAGCTCTCCGTGGCCTCGATGTTTGGATTCAACGTTTGGACTGCGGATATACCACAAGCGTACTTGCAATCGACATAACCATGGATGAGGCATATAATTATTATGAATCCCATCTCAGACTTTGAGCTGGACGCATGGCAATGGCGTCTCCTTCTTTGACCTTAATATGGCTTCTGTGAGTCTCGTGACTTTTGGCACACAACCCTCGACGTCCACCATCGTAATGAACTAGGTATTTAACCTCATTTTCAGACTCTGCATTATACGCTTGGATTCCTGATGGTCTACTCAAAGGCCTATTTGGGAGCTCTGTAGATGACTTCATGAGAGCTGGTCATTATTACTTCAAAGAACATGCAAAGAAGACCGCTGCATTTCTGGACATGGCAGACAATGAAGTGCGTCCGTGTAACTTAACAGGGGTTTGCCTTAATTTTAGTGAAGAAAACACCCTCACCCTCGACTAGAACAACTGCTTGATGACTTTTGTGATGCTTACTGTGTAGAATTCCCCTCGCTCTGTAATAAACTTTCATGACTAAAGCATATTTGGCCTGATTGCGTTTTCCAAGTCTTGCAATTGGCTCAAGGTGCGAAGGACATATTCGAAAGAGACCGGGGAGCAGTTATCAGAAGATAACACAGATTGGTAAAGCATGAGCAGGAGAAACCGATGGAGGTCGTTTTCTCGAAGCTGGAGAGACACTCCTTGGAATCGCCTGCTTCTCCGATGCTTCTTTCTCTGGAAATATGGAATTCCCTTCTCAGCTCAGCTATATTCGTTTCTCTGCTGATTACAAGGATGCCGCTCTGCCCCTCACCTTTAAATCCTACAAAGTCAGTCGAGTAACAAGATCCATGATGGCTGCAGAAGTTATCAGTTTCGGCGGTCTGTTCAAAGCCTGCTACGCACTTGGGCATGATCTCAGGTCTATGCTTCAAAACGGCGAATCTCCCATTCACCAGTACACGGATAGTAAATATCTTTTTGAGGTAATATCAAAGGAGACTCGCAATTCTGAGAAGCGTGTCATCCTATAAATTGCTGTAGCTCAGAAATTTGTTAAAAAGAATGCCACAAGTGACCTAGGATCTGTCAGGAGAGATGCAAACAGCGCAGATGCTTTGATAAAGAAGATCAGCCAAAAGGGCATTAACGGATGTGGTACGCAGTCCGTAGCGAACCTTTTTTCTGTAAAATGAATGCAGAGGGACTGTATCGAGTATGATAGGAGGGTATGAGGAGGGTACTAGGACGACACTAGGAAGATGATTCGTCCTAGTCGATTTCGGCGGGTGGTTGGATGATTAAAGAAGGTTGGACAGATTATTATTGGCTGTTTTCCTTTTAAATTTCAAGTTTTCTGTAGCAACGTACTGTAGGCCTTCGTAGGCTGTCCATGGCTGCCCCACCCTGCCACCCTGACCAGCTTGCGCGACCCCCCGCACGTGCGCATTCTCTACCCCCCTCGACACACTCCCACCGCCCATCCTCGTCCCCCTTAAATTACCTCATTCAAGCTCACCGCTGCCGTCCAAGCCCCCGTCCGCTTTCTCCACTCTTCTTCCCCACTCGTGTCTCCCACTTCCACCACAACATGCTGCACCCCTTCGCGTAGCTCCATCTCATGCGCAATAATACCATGGGATTGACCGGCGTCGACTCGGACGAGGGCGTGCAGTTAGAGAAGGAGCCGTGGAGGCTTCATGCATCTTGCGCAGGTCCTTTTCGGACTGGGAGGCCAACGTGTCGGAGAGCCCAGAGTAAGTCCAGACATCCTCCTAGCACTTCTCACCCTTCTCCAAGATCATCTTCTCTCGCCCAATCGAGCCCATGCCGCCGACCTGCATCGACGACTGGACACCTGTCAGCTCGTTCCTCTCACAGGGCCTCAACAACCCCGCATAGGATAACCTCGGCATATTCTTTGTCGGCAGCGAGACCATCGACTTCAACGTCATTTCTGCCCCCGAAAACACCACCATGCACCGCGAGTTCTTCCACGCCCCCCTGAAGGAGCTCGCGTTCCATCCCCAGAAACGTTTCAAAGTCGGCATCGCCACCTACAGCGGCTTGTGCTCCGCCGGCAAACGTCGTCAGGAAGCTCTTCATCATGGTAGAGCAGATTTCTAACTCCCGCAGCGTCTTCGTCATTCCATTTGACTACCGCGGCTTTTACTACACCCATCTGGAAATCACCACCCACGATTCGTGTAAGGTCCAGAACATCCATCATGATTTGGGCTCCATTCTAGGCAGCGCACACAGCGGCCATGACATTCAGCGCATTTGTGATGCTATTGTCGCCATGCGCTTTAGTCAGAGTTATATCATCGGCGGCGATGGTACGCATGGCGTCTTCGGCAAGATCCATGAAGAATTCAAGTGATGGAGGTATACGGCCACTGTTTTCAAAGTGCCCAAGACTATTGATAACGACATTTCCCTGTTTGATAAGAGTTTTGGCTTTGACACCGCTGTTGGGGGGGCCCAACGCTCCATTAAGTGCTCAAAGATCGAGGCAAAGTCTGACATCAATGGCATTGGCCTTGCTAAGCTCATGGGCCGTCATTTGGGCCAGCTCACCATGTTTTCGACGTTCGCGAGTTGTGACGTTGATTGCTGTCTAATCCCTTAGGTCAAATTTTAACTAGACGGCAAGAACAGCCTCTTCCAGTACATTGAAGAGAACCTCAAGGCGAAGAAGAACGTGGCTATCTTCGTTGCGGAAAGTATGGACGGGGAACGGGGATCCAAGGCTACAATCAGTCGGGAAACAAGAAGCTCCAAGAGATCGGCCTCTGGTTCAAGTATAAGATTTGTACGGAATTTAAGAAGTGCAACTGCGAGATTAAACTCAAGCTTTTTGATTCCACTTATGTGATTCTCTCTGTTCTCTCCAATGCTTCGGACAAATTGCATTGCAGCTTTCTGGCGCAGTCGGCTGTACATGGGGCCATGCATGACTTTTCCAGGTTCTGCGTCAGGTTAATCAATACGCATTTCATCCTCATCCCAAGAGCAGAAAATTGTAGAAGAGGTAGAGGTAAGGGAAGGAAGATTTTATACTCACGGACAAAAAGAAGCGGCCAGAAACCTTCAAGTTTTGAGACCAATTCTCTTGATGCATTCGATCTCATTCAATTCCCTCTTTTTGTCATTTTTGCGCAACGCCATTTAACAGTTGATGTAAGAAGCAGCATGTGGCATCGAGTGGTCGAAACCACGCAGCCACAGAGTCTTGCCGCCCATCCTATCAACTCTCCGCCCTCATCGCCACCTTTATAAAGTTTCGTCTGGGTCGGTTAAAATTGCTTCCCGATTGTGGTTCCATCAAGACACAAGCAAGTAAGGCACACGTAGAATAAGGCACAGCATTACAGCACCTCACTCACTTGAACAATAAAGTCACCGCCGTCCCCCGCTCCACAGAGGATCGGGGGTATCGGTGTTCCTAGAACCACAGGTTATGGGCCACACGCAACCGCTGAACACGATCTGTCAACTCCGAACAAAACCACACCACGGCAGACGTTAACAGACACGCAAAAGCGCAACAGGACGAGCCGCACTGCAAGAACACGCGTACACGCAAGCGATCTCCTCCGCCTCGTCAAACCCCACACAGAACCAACCATAAGTAACAACACCATCACCCATGGCACTCTGCCACTGCTAACCATTACGAATTATCCCTTCTGGTACGATGCACTCGATATATATGCGCGAACAATCAACGCCCACAGCACCCTGGCAGCCACGATACTACCCACCTGGAACCCAGAACAACGCAAGAAAGAAGATCTCATACGGAAAGCCATAATGCAGAGTCTAAGTGCCAAAGTGATACAACTCTTACCACCCCACATCCTACGCAACGAGCCACACACCACATGCAAACTTTTGAAACAAGCGGTGGACACCTGCTCCATCGAAAATCATGAGCTGCTGGACGCAGAAGCACGCACACTCAATTTCACAGCAGACAAAGAATTCAAAGACTACGTGCAGAATCATCGTGAAATAAGGCACAGCTATGAACAGGGCCACGGAAATCCAGGTGGCGGATATCCTAGAGACGATGCCGCGGTTGAAAGAGAGGTGGGTGACTCGAACTTACCAGAGGTACGCCAAGGTTGCGTTGGCCATGCCGAGGGATGAGCGCAAGTACGAGTTGTTCGGAAAAGCCACGGACGCTTGCCCGAAGCTTGGAATTATCCATATGGATGGGACTGAGCTGCTTCACATGTACACGGAATGCTTTGAGATTGCTCTGGAGTGTGTCCGTGAGAGGGTGACGAGTGGTAGGGCGGGGAAATTTGAGGATATCCGCTGGGCGTTTTACCATGCAATTCGGAGTATGTTTTCGGAGGTGAGGCAGGAAGTGAACCGGTTGAAGATGGACCTGCAGGAGGTATTGAACGTCCGAATTAAGCTCAGCAACACGGATATTAGCTTGCGGAAATTCATCATCAACAGGACGGCCGCGGAGAAGTATGAGAAGGACGCGGCGAATTCGGCTGCCAAGAAGAAACTGAAGAATCGCATGAAGCATCTCTCCCGCGCTCTGAAAATTGCAATCGGTGAGGTGAAGGAGATAGGAGGGCAGGGGGAAGATGGGAACGGGGAGGAAATGGAAGCGGATGAAGTGGTGCATGTGTCGACGAGGCGGGCGAATACAGACCCAGCAACTCAGGCGGACGTGGGTAGGGGGGAAGCCGGTGTGGCAGGTAAGGAGGGGCGCCATGCGACCGCATGCAGAATAGGTGGGAAGGAGTGCCCTGAGCGTGTCAAAGAACCCAGCCCGCCGCCGGGACGACGGCTGCGACCGCGAGCGCCTCGCGGCGATAATCAGGACGCCGTTGACAGTCATATGAAAGCGGCGACTGGTCCGAGCGCACAGGGCGCAGGGAGCTTGGAGAAGGCTCGAAGGGCCATTTCGGCTCAAACGTTGGTGCGACAGAATGAGCTGGGGCAGTCATGTGGCCGAGAGGGGCGGGAGAGAAGGAAGGCGAGCGTGGCGGAGGAGCGAAAGAGGGTCATAGACGCATTCAACAGTCTTGATGCGTCTGGCCGGAAGGAAGTTGTCGAGGAGCTCGGATTGGATTCATCGCTTGGGGAAAGCGATGAAGAGAAGGGCGAGGGGGTGCAAGACTTTGTGCCGGCGGAGGACGGCGCCTTTGATGACGCAGTGCCCGATCAGATTCCGATCGGGCATGATGTGATGGAAATCGAGGAGCGAGCCGTGAACCCCATGGCATGTCCGAAGCTGGTGGAGGGATTCCCGAGTCAGTGGCCCGACGGTGACGTGGATGTGCTGGTGCATCAATATCTCATGATGATGCACTTGCCGCGTGAGCACCGAGCGCATGTGATAGTGGGGGGTCCAAGTTTGACGGGAAGGAGTTGGTGCGGACGAACCATCATCTAGTGTATTGGCGAGCGGCATTAAACTACTTGATGAGCCGTCCGTGGAAGGTCGAAGGAGGCGCCAGTGGCGATGATGAGCGAGGAGTGTGGAGTATGGCGGTGAAAGAAGATTACTACTCGGGTCTTTACTTCACGGAGTACCGCACGTTGCTGTCGGAGAGAGGCTTTTGCATTCTGCAAGGCTTCATGAACGACCAGACGTTGCCAGGAGATGTGGACGGGAGGAAGATCGGGCTGATTGATGGGAGGGGAACGGTGTTCGAGGACCTTCGAGGTGCTGTGGAGAGGACGTTTTCGGGAAATGATGGGAGTGTGGACTCACGGTTGTGGACACCTATTGTGAACACGACCAGGGAGGACGATGAGGTGGACCACAGGGCGAAGGTTGGCCGGTACACGAGTACGAGAGCCAGTGTGATGGAAGTGGTGGAGCAGAGTGCGGACAAGGTCTGGATGTTCGAGAATCGCGCGATGCTGGACATGAGAAGTGGGCAGGCTAACTCTTCACACAATGCGTATTGCAGCAGCATATTATGCCTCTGGACAAGTTTGGAGGGATTTGGAGACTTTCGGATTTTATGACGGACGTCATGGCCAGAAACTCTCCGATCACACGCTTCTGATAGCAGAAATGGTTAGTCGCCAAAAATGTCGCCACGTGTGACAGGTGGGGGCGCGGCCTAGGAAGAACGTGGCCACATGGGCGGCACGTGGCCACTGCCGAAGACCCCTCCCCAAACGACAGATGTTGCTACAGGTGTCCACGTGTGAGTTCACGAAAGTAGGAAGCATAAAAATACAAACGTCGCCCAACTCTTCACACAATGCGTATTGCAGCAGCATATTATTCCTCTGGGCAGGTGTGGAGGGATTTGGAGACTTTCCGATGAGACTTTCCGATTTTATACTCCGCAAAAATGTCGCCACGTGTCACAGGTGATTTCACATAAATAGGCACGCAGCATATAAGAAAAGGTATCGCCCGAGTCTTCCATGTGCTCATTTCGAGAATTTGACGTTGAAAAACACGAAAAAGTGGCTCATATTATTATTTTGAAAATTTGACGCCTAAAACCGACGTTCAGATTCTCAAGTGGCTCATATTATTATTTTGAAAATTTGACGCCTTAAACCGACGTTCAGATTCTCATTTTGAGAATTAGACCGAGGAAGAAGTGGGTCTCTGCGAGAACGGGAACGATGAGGTTAGTAGTAGCCGCGCTCGTCGCACGCAGCGGCGAGGGAAAGGAGTCGCGAGAGTGAGGGGGGCAGGGACACTTCGGACGGAGAGTCTCGCGACCTTTCGCAGGCGCTGTCAGAGGGTAGCCAGTTACCCCCGAGGGTCGGTCGGGATACCGCCCTCAGACTTTTATCTCGCCGGATTTCTCGCCGGCGCGTCCGGCCGATAATTTCCCTTTTTCCCCAGATTTAGGGCTAAACAAATAAACTTCAATTTCTATATTCCCACAGGGTCAGATTCTCGAAATGAGAATGCCCTTGTCCTATTACGTACACGCCCGAGGAAAAGTGCGTCAAATTCTCAAAAACTAGTGCCCAACTTCCTGGAACGGCCGTGGTGGAGCTCATCTAACCGTTTGTATTGCCGAGACCCACCTGTATTCCAGCTTGCGCCCTTTCAGATACCAGATGTTTCTTGGATTGGGGCTCTGACATGGTTTCAGCATGAAGTTGATTTTTGAATCCGTGTACGACTTTAAGAGCTTTCCGAACTCCTCTGTTCTTTTGTTTCACCTTGGGCTTTAAATACCGAGTGGCCTCTACCAATTTCCGTCTCTCCTTCTTTATATTCCTTCTATTGCATCATTGGCATCTTATTTCTTCAGCAAAGAATATCGGACAACGCAACTGTGCTCTATCTGCGGTATGGCTTCCAACAAACCAGTAAAGCGTTTCTCTTTGTCTTCTCCCACAGCCGAGAAGGAGAACATGCACAAGAAA